CCGATCCCGTCTGGAGCCGGCACGTGCTGCCGCAGCGGGAGCGGCCCCGGCCGTGACAAATGGCTCAAAGGGCTCGGTGACACCGGGGCTGCCGAGCACCTGAGCCTGCGGGCCGGCCGGCAGCGCTGCATTCAGCGCCCGGCCCGGCCCCGCCTGCTCCTGCGCTTCCACCCGGGCCCGGGGGACGAGCAAAGGCTTTTCAGGCTTGCCCGATAATGCCCCGAGCGGCTCCGGACAGCTCACCGAAACGCTGCCCGGCTTGGCTCTGCCCCCGGTAAAATCCTGCCGACGAGCCGGAGGATGCTGCTCAGCACACAAAACACCGGGAAGAGCCGCCCGGACAAGCTGCTGAGCAGCGACAGGAGAGGCAGCTGAGGAGGAACAGGGCGAGGTCTGGAGAGCCCCGCAGATCGGGCAGGGAAGAGCCCAGCCCAGCCAGGCCGGAGCTGCACGCCCCGGCTCCGGTCAGCAGCCAGCTCGGCTCGGTGCTCCCCGAGCAGCGGGGACACGGCAGCTCCTGCTCCTGCCATGGGGACAGCGAGCTCGTTTGTACTCACAGCTTAAATCAAACCAGAACTGAGTGACTCCAGCAAACTGAAATTAAACTCCCTGCTACCTCTGTCTCAGTACATATGCACATTTGGGAGAACAGTTGGGATTCATTAAAAAAAGAAAAAGTCAACTATAATTTTGCTGAAGTTTAGGAATCTCAGTGTGGAGGCATGGTGAACAATCTGGAAAAGAACCCTCCGAAAAACACCTCCGTCCTGTAAAAAAAGCATCACGAGCTTTTCTATTTATTGCCCTGTAGGAATGCGTCTGTCCTGAAAATCCCTGGAGCAATACTTCTGTCAGAGCTGCCCCATGGAAAAATGTGCTGTGCCTTCAGCCTCAGAGCCAACCACGAAATTACACACATCAGAATCTCACACAGAACCTCTTTATCCTGGACTTTGTGCCACCGCTCTCCTGTGAGCTTTGGGCAGAGCCCACCTGACACCAAGCTGCCCCCAACACCAAGCAGAATTTAGATGTGCCACATCAACTACTGGTTTAAAAATGCGACCATGGATCAGCTGTGAGCTCTGAGCAGGGCTGGGAGGGAGCTCTGAGTGCCTGGCTGGCTTTCCTGGAGCAGCCTCGGGGCAGGAGCGCTGCAGGGAGCGCACAAATGCACTGCTGCGGCAGGCCTGGCTGCAGAGGACGGGCTGTGAGCTTGAACCCTACCCCGGCGGAAAGCTGGACAGCTGGCTGCCCTGATTAACCAAACCCCCGGTTATCTGGGGCTTGGGGCATCCCCTGAGATCTGCAGATAAATGCAGTTACACCAGACCCTCCAAGGAGCCGAT